CCTTTTCAGTAATCGTGAATGTCCCATACGTTTTTACCACACTGCAAATATATATAGTTTACACGTTGACATTTGTTAAAGTATTTACAATGTTTAAAAAGAAAGAATTATTTTCACATAATTGAATGTCATACTGGGTAATACCTCTAGCAATACTTTTTAATCCGATAATCACTGGTGTGTTAGGCGGTAAAATAATTAGAAAAACCATACGTTTAGAGAAGCTATTATAGCTTACGTATAGAAGCGTTCGTTTTAGCAAATAGATTTTGATAATTATAGTCATATGTTATGCATGTGTCTAGAAATTTATATTAAAATATACCGATTATCGTGACACAAATTGTGGAATTAAGGTAAAGTGGGTAACATAGTTGATTATAGCAAATATATATATTTGCACGATAAATACACACTGCTTGGCATAAGAATTATCAGGTGAGTCTCGAATTCGGATTTTATTGTATTAAAATCTTCACACGCTTGCTTATATAAAGTAAATAATAACAACATAACGACTACATGTTCCTTGTGGCAGTGATAATTATCGTTAATGTCATGTTAATCTTGTATCTCGATTAATATCGAAATATGACAAATGATAGTACTAAAATAAAGCTACTTACAAACAACAATAAAATATAAAAGTAAATTCAAAACGGAATAAATGGCGGCTATAATTGGAAAGTACTAATGTTTAATTGCGCTGCCGCAATGTTGGTTTTCTTAGAGTTTTTTTTTTTTATTTGGTGACGAAACTGGGGGGTCCGAGGTGGTAGTGGCTGTCGAGGACGACGGCGATAACGGTCCTTCGTAGGTATTTGTCGGTTCCTCACAGGTATCAGTTGACGTTTCAATAGATTTTGATTTTTTGTTAAGAGCGAACCTACGAGACGGCGAGCTGAGATCAGCTTTGGTTTCTTCGTCTTCGATCCATATTGGAGCATCTCGTTTTATCCCTTCTACTCTGCCTGACTGTGCGATGAATTCGAAGTGGTGTACTTCGCAGTATAATTGGTTTTCGCTTATCTCTAATTCTCCCGTAACCATTAACATGGATCCTTTTCTTGCAGACGAGCTTCTTCCCGC